GTCTCGGACCAAAGTAGACTTGCACTGTTGCTTCTGAATGGCCAGTTGTGTTCTCCAGACCACTACTGTGGTCTCGGGTCTGTGATGTTCTTTGGTGTGGTTTGAGCTGAATGCCGTTTTCCTTCTGAGCCTGGAGCTAGAGTCTATAGCCAGCCAGCAGAGCTGTGGCCTGGAGCCACCTGAGTTAGAGCCTGAAAGTTGCCCTGGAGACGGCATGTCACGCTGGAGGAGTGAAGTGTGTCCTGGTGGCCCCCAGGTGCCTCCCGGGCACCTTTCCTTTTTGTTATTCTTCTGGGTCCTTCACTGCAGCAGCCAGGAGTGAGATCACACGCAGGGTCCTCTCAATGGATCAGCAAACCTGAGGGTGGTCGAGGTGGTCTTGGGGACCCCTGGCCTTCTAGCCAGTGATTTTTAGCAGCCTGGTGTCATTCAGGAGCATGTCCAGGACTTGAGGCTGGTGCCTGGATTTATGGGCTCACCCTCCTTAGTACATCCTACCTGGTATATTTTCCCTAAATTTCTAACTACTCTACACTTCATCTTGTGACTCCTGAAGCTTTTTGCTTTTTGGAGGAGGGCGATGCTTTTTGCCCGGGCCCTGTGCTGCAGGCAGGTAGTGCGCACTCGGAGCAGGAGCTGCTGTGGTTCCGATCTCTGGTCCTGTCCCTTCTGGCTCCTGCCTGGTTTTGGTTTCTGTCGGGCACTTTGAGGTAGTTGTGTCTGAGTTACCCCTCCCTCTCCAGTGCTGGAACATCTGTCCTTTTTGTATGTGACCTGTCCTTTTTGTATGTGACTTAGCACAACACCCCCATCTGTCCCATCCCAGTGGCGCTGTAGTCTTTGAGCTCAACAGGAAATGGCACTGATGAAGAAGATGCTGACCACCTTCCTGGGAGAGTCGTTGGCACTGCCAGGGAAGCATGTGTGCCCTGGGGAATCAGGTGTCTGTTTTTATCTTATAGATGCTTCTTGGCTTATAATGGGATTCCTCCCAGTGAACCAACCTAAGCTGAAATAAAAATGCCTTCATACACTGTGCTGGCCACAGTGAGGGGTGAGGGCTGAGGGGGGCTGTTTCCCGGTGAGCGCAGGGCTCCTCCAGGGGGCTGTGCTTTCAGCTGCCTGGCATCCCAAGAAGCTCAATATGAAGTAGTTCAGGGCAATCTGTATCACTTTATTACCACAGTAAAGCTGCAGTCGTGTCAGAGTCCTTAGCATAAAAGCTGTTCTCAAAATTTAAGGCAACTTTCCTTGTTCATAGTGGTTAAGACAGTTTTTTCTATGGCTGGTACAACATGTATCTTCCTCATCCAGAGAACTGTTGCATTTTAAGGGTCTCCAGAATTCCTTGCTGCAAGCAAAATTTTAATAAATGCCTTGCTTTTCTCAGTAGTGATGCCTTGTTGTTCCACATCATGAGAACCAGACCTGAGAAAGGTTTTCAGCCTTGCGTGTGGTTTCAGGTTTACCCCTGCAGCCTGTACCGTACCCGCTGTTCTGGGAAGAATGAGATCAAGTGGAATGGACCAGAGCCACTGCTGACACAGTCCTTGGTGATGATACAACGTGCCAGGCTTCCTGCTGTGACGGCTTTGCAACTGTGGTCTTTTTCTTGTAAACCAGCATATTTTCATGCCTTGCCCTGGTTTGTAATTTGTTTGTTTGTTTGCTTTTGTACCTACGATCAATCGGCCTTGCCTCTGTGAGGCAGGCAGCAGAACCACGGAGCTAAATCCCCAGCCCTACCTTGGTTTGTATTTTAAATGCAACAGTAGACTCACCCTTTCTCCCTCCTATCCTGGGCTTTAACTGTGTAGGTGTCTCCTATGGCTTTCTGTTCGTGTGTGCATGAGTCTTTTCTCCATACTCTGAGTATATTTCAGCACGCTTCTGGTCTGGGGACTGTCAGGATGTGGTCCAGAGCAGGTGAAGCAGACGGGTGGAGCTAGGTGTTTGGATCGGTCCTGTGGATTAATTTCATCGCTTTGAAAACTTGGAGGGAACCAGATTTGACTTATTCCACATTTTGGTTTTCTGGATTGAGTTTGAGAAGGAAATTATAACAAAAGCATGAGTGGGTAACATTATTGCAAAACAGTATCTGGGTGAGTTGAGTGAGATTTGCGTGCCTTTCTTTAGGCTTCTAAATTCCTAGGAGAGCTTATCTGCAGTTTTTGCTTTATATTCTTCCATAAAGGCTTTGTCGTGTGAAATACTTTGCATTGCAGTTCTGTAACTTCAGATATACCTGCAGGTACCCTGAGAAAGAATTCATGATAGAATCTAGAAAACTCAGGGAAAGGGCCTGAAAGGTTTATTTATGTGCTTGTCATGTAATTCTCCTTCACCACAGAGTACTCAGGAAATAATTTTAGGTTTGGTATTCCAATAACAGTTCATTGAATCCAAGTGATGCCTTTTTACTGAGAGATTAATTTACTTAAACTGCTGACTTTTTAATGGGGAAAGGGCATCTGTCCTTGGGTGGGGCCGGGGGACACCTCCCGTCCCTGTTGTCTGTGGTTGTTAGTCTTTGTTACCTTGAGGTGTTGGCTCGACCGAGTGCCCTTCTGGCACACACTGCCCAGTGTGAGTCGTGCACACACGCGGCTATCGTCTCCTTCCCGGCAGTGTCTCAAGACAGTGGAGTGCTGCGCCTGCCCCCAAATGTCTTCCTGCTCCTTCAGTTTCAACTCGGTTTGGCTAACTACAGCCCGCAGCTGACTCTGAGTGGTTTTTACCATTTAAAACAATAGAAGTGGGTTTTGGGTCTTTCTTTTTTATTAGTACGTGTTTGCACAATGTTAACATTCCTTGCATGGAATGGATACCTGTACAAAACACACCTTAATTCTTTTTTCATCCCTCCCTCTGCCCCGTCCCACCATCTTTTGATCCCCTTTCTGTTTGAGAAAGATCCATCTCCCTACTTCTTATCTGTCTTTTTATTTTGGGTTTATTATTTTATGACACACAGAAGTACAAAATCCAGAGTTTGGTGTCCTTGAGTAGTTTTCATTTAATGGCACCACATCCACATAAGTATTATCTGTGCTTTAAGTATCATGTGCAAACAACACACACCCTCGGCTTTGTGTGTCCTCAGTGCATGGGCTTTCAGTGAAGTAAAAGAAGTCAATGGCAGGCAGGCACCTTTCTGGGAGATGCCAGAGAGTGAGTGTTTCCAGCCTGTGGCCGGCGGCCTCCCAGCCCCTCCCACCTGTCTGCTACTGCAGAGGGGCTGTCCTGCCTCAGTTTGCACAAAGTGGCAGGACCCGGGTAGGGGCCTAGGAGAGAGCCAGGGACTCATGGTTAAGGAGAGAAGGGCAAACCTATTCATTCTGTGCTCCCAGGCCCAGTTTAGCTTCAGGGAAATGGATGAGAGGAGAAGAGGTTACCCTGACTTGGTATGCATGCTTCTGGGATTGAAATTGATTTAGGAGAAACAAAAAGCATTAAACACAGTTTTCCCATAAGAGAGAATCTTTTTATCCTATGCCTTGAAAACTTTTTTTTTTCAGCTTTAATTGAGTTTATTGGTACATTTTAGGGATACAGTACAGTTACATTCATTGTTGGGATCTTGTACCTCCACAATGACAAGTCTTGATTCTCATTTTTTCCCCTTACCCCTGCCCTCCCTTCATCCCCTCCTCCCCTCCCCATCTACAAACACTTTTATTTCCATCTTTTCATTATCTCACATTTTTTTCTTTTCCCTTATTACCCTTCCCCTACCCATCCCACCTTCCCTACACCTTTAGCTCCTTTCTTCCCATTGCCTTGAAAACTTTTAAACTGTTACTGCCATGAAATTGATTTCTTTGAAATTTTCTAGGAATACATCTTTTTAACTTAAATTGAAATGCTTATACCTTTATTCACAATGATTCAGATGTGAAAGGGTAGAGTGGAAAAACCACTTTAAAAGCACTCATTGCTCTCTTGTACACTGTGGACACACTGTCCCTAATCTGACATTAAATTTTGACTCAGGAGATCTGTTAGCCTGAAATTTGCCTGCTGATGAAACAAGGTCTTTTTGTTCTTAATCCTTTCTGCATAGAAGCAATAACATGTGCTTAATTTTAGGCTGTTCTATAGTTAAGGGTTTTAATTCTCTGAGTCTCAAATAGATATATTGGAGAATTTGTTTTGTATTTTTGAACAAGGTAACTTACAGTTGTATTCAATCTGCTTGTGTTATTCTGGAAGATTAGAGAACTAGGTACGCTGTCATGTCTTCCAACACAACCTGTGACTTTGCCAAAATTATACTGATGTTTTTCACGGTTGATGGCTGTAAGACCATTGCATCCATGCTTAGAGAGACACGGTCGTGCACTGCCTCCAGGGGAGCGGGCTGACAGTTTTACATTAACTGCAGATGTAGCAACAGATTCGGGTAATTCTGCAAGAATGTACATGGGCATTGTGTCAAATATTTTCTCTTCACGTGAATTGTAAAAGATCTCATTTGTACATAGAATGTTAAACTAGTAGAATGCTGGGCGTGTGGCACACATCTGTAATCCCAGCAGTTGGGAGGTTGAATTCAAAGTTCCACAGCATCATCCTTTAAAGATGCTACGATAAAATTAAAGACGAGATTGGAAGGCAAATAACCTGACCATCCTCGGCCATTTTACCGTGATACACTGCCTCCTTAGTTTTAACTCGGTGCTTCAGTGTTACACCCACAATACCAACGTGAATTTCCTCTGTGAGCCAGTTCCATGGCCCGGAAGTCTTCAGTCCTCCTTCATCCTGTAACCTGAGGATGAGCTAGCACAAGGCAACAAAATTGCCAAAGTTCTAGGTGTCTGTTACCATTTTATTTTCAGATGATTGAGGTTGGGAAAGAAGAGATCGTTGTCATGATCTGCAGTGCTTTTTATTATTTTGATGTTTGCTTATTAAACTTCACCTTCTTTAAACAATAAGGTTGTTTGGGATTTGCAGCCATTGCTTAAATTTCTCTCCCTCCCCCCACCCCACAGGTTGAAAGGATCGTTGACAAAAGGAAAAACAAAAAGGGGAAGACCGAGTACCTGGTGCGGTGGAAAGGCTATGACAGCGAGGATGACACATGGGAGCCAGAGCAGCACCTGGTGAACTGCGAAGAGTATATCCACGACTTCAACCGGCGCCACACCGAGAAGCAGAAGGAGAGCACACTCACACGGACCACCAGGACCTCCCCCAACAATGCCAGGAAGCAGATTTCCAGGTCCACCAACAGCAGCTTCTCCAAGTCCTCCCCGAAGGCACTCGTGATCAGCAAGGACCCTGAGTCCAAGAATAGTGCACTGCTTGCGGCCAGCCAGAAGTTCAGGAGAAACACAGCCCCCTCCCTGTCCAGCCGGAAGAACATGGACCTTGCCAAGACGGGGATCAAGATCCTTGTGCCTAAGAGCCCCATTAAGAGTAGGACTGCAGTGGACGGCTTTCCGAGCGAGAGCCCTGAGAAACTGGACCCCGTTGAACAGGGTCCCGAGGACACGGTGGCACCAGAAGTGGCAGCAGAGAAGCCCGTGGGAGCTTTGTTGGGCCCTGGTGCAGAGCGAGCCAGGATGGGGAGCAGGCCCCGAATACACCCACTAGTGCCTCAGGTGCCAGGCCCGGTGACCGCAGCCATGGCCACAGGCTTGGCCGTTAACGGAAAAGGTGAGTGTGCAGGTGGGCAGCGTCCCAAGGCCTGGCTGTCCCCTTGAGGAGGCCCCACCTCGTGCAGATGTCTGCCAGACACTGGGGAGGGTTTGCCAGTTTCATTCCTTGAAGCCTCAGGCATTTGGCTCTGTGTGCCTTCCACAGCTGTGTCACCACATTGGCCTGCTCTCTACAGCGTCCCAGGTAAACAGGTGACAGCCTGTTGTTTTGCCAAGTTCACTTTGAAGCCGCTGCCTTTCTGCCTTTCTTAGACAGAGTCTCGCATTAAAAACCCACCTGCAGCTCTCAGTATGGCCAATGCAGATGTAGAAGCCGTGCTCCTTGTTTTGCACCTCCGTATGAATAAGCAGGGAAATGTTTTTCAGAGAAGGTATCACTTGCCTAGTGGAGCTTCCAGGTTGAGTCTGCTTTGTCACATTTGCTCCTTGTTTGAGAGTCGGAGGCCACACAGCACTCTGTCCCTTGCATTAGGGCCCAGCTTGTTGTACCACAACCACTGTCTGCAGACAATGCTCCCAAGAAGCCTCCCCTGCTTGCCTGCACGTGGCTGGCCACCTGTGTATACAGAATTCGGTTACCTATTTCCTCCTCCAAGCCCCACTGGTCCCACCTCCCTTTAGAATTTGGGAATGTCTAACCTGCCATAGCTCTCTTGTAGGGGTATGTGTGTATGTGTGTGTATGAGTGTGTGTGTGTGTCTGTGTGTGGCTGGAGATCGAACTCAGGGCCTTAAGCATGTTCAGCAGGTCTTCCACCATGAGCTATACCCCTGCCGCTGCCTGTTCAGTAGCTCTGTCTGCTTTTTCTCCTGTCTTGTTGGGATCTAACATCTTGACCCCAGCCCAGGGCAATACGAGGCGGAATGAGCTGGTGTTAGGTTGTTGAGGGAGCTGCTGTCCTGTTCAGTGAAATGTTCACCCAGGACATTGTTTGGACATCCTTGCTATATGGCGAGGTCAGGTGTTACCTTGGGCTAGGTCTTTGCACAGCACCAAAGCGGGGCATAAATAGACCGGAAACACCTGTCCTGGTGGAGTGTTTCAGATGCACTCTTGACCCAAATGCTGCCACTCTTCCTGCTTTGACTTGGCCCTCACTTGGGGCCTATAAACTTGTTCCCAAGTGTGCTTCCCTTGTCTACCTGCTTGTGGAGGTGCTGCTCATGGATTAAGTTCCCCTTGTTTTAAAACATGTTGCTGTGGCTTGAACCCAAGGCCTCATGAATGCTGGGCAGGTGCTGTACCACTGTGCTACTTCCCCAGCCATATAGTTCCCTCTGCTTTGTCATGCAGGGACAGTCATAGAAAGTTCAGAGGTGGAGGAGACTTTGTAAGTCACCTAATAGCACACGTGGGTTTGCTGCTTCTGCTGTACAAGGGACATCTGCGTCTTTATTGGTGACAAGAGCCAGGCACTGTGCTGGGCCCTGGTTGGCAGCTGACATCTGGTTTTGTATGGCCTGCAAGCAAAAAGTGGTTCTCACATTTTCTAATGACAGGAAAAGATAAAGAGGTCTATTTACTAACCCATGAAACTATAAGAAATTGCTGTCTGTGTGTCCTGTGTGCAGATGGATTGGAGCACAGCTGCATTTGCTCTTTTCCATGCAGTCCCTGGCTGCCATCCTGCTCCAGAGGCAGAGCAGAATCATCACAGTGGAGACTGTGACTCTGAGCTGGCCATCGCTGCTGTAGGAGTTTGTCTCACCTGGGCTTTTTCTTTAAGGCCGGGCAACATAAAAGCCTTCAGGTCTGTGGGCCTCCTATCAGGGTCTGCAGAAGTTCTGTGCGTGCGTTCTTATGGGACTAACCTTTGGTTTTCAAAACTGACTCAAGAAGGCTGAGAACCCCCTCGCTGTGAACCCGGAAGTCTGGCTTTGATTGGTCACCAATTCCAATCGCACTTCTGCTTCCTCCTTGCAGTGCCTCCAAACCAGCTGCACCCCGTGTAAGTCTGCACATTTGCTTCCACATTTGCCTTCACAAAAGACTGAATGCCTTCCCCTTTCCTGTGTGAGGAGGGTAAATTGCTCCTGATTTGGTGGCTGGGGAAATCACTCAGTACTACAGTGTGTGCCAAGCATGTGCAAGGCCCTAGGACAGTCCCCAGCACAGCATGCATGCACGAATAATAAATAAGGTTCTGGTTACATTTGAAATAAACATCTGTAGCATGGTTTTATTAAACTGAAAGGGACCTGAAGGCATAGAACCATAAACTAAGTCACCAGGCCTGTGGAGGGAGGGGTCGGCAGGGGACCAGCTCTGTTTGGAAGCGCTTCCTCCAGGCCCCCGCCACCTCCCTGTACTGTCGCTCACTCCTGCCTGGCTGATGCACATTGAGAGCCCTGTGTCCTGTGTGCAGCCGAAAACATAATCTCCACCTGCAGGAAAGTAGAAGCCACTCAGGAGTATTTTTAGGATTACGGTGGATAATAGCCATTGAAGCCCACGTTGATAACGGGCTTGCAGATTAACATGGGAATTTGGGCACCTCCTCCAGGCGTCCCATAGGCCTGTTCTTTCCAGGTGGAAGGAAGGAGATGGCATCTCCAACAGGGGCCACTGCAGATGTAGGGATCAGCCAGGAAGGAGGTGCTGTTGGGTTCTCTGCACACACCCAACTGTGGTGTGGGTGCTCTCCAAGGATGAGGTTTGTCCTCCTGCGCCTACAGGAGAGGGGGTGAGGGGGGCAAGGTGGGGGCCAGGAGCAGATGGTCCAGAAAGCTGTGTTTTGTCCTTCTGACGAAGAGTGGAGATGGTATTGAATTTCAAGTGCGTGGTTGGCCCACACCCATTCATCTTTAAAGCAGTTGTTTGTTTTTACTTTCTGGATTAATTTTAGAGCTGCAGGAGGAAACTGATTTGTTTTTCTAAAACTAATTGAAGCAGATACTGGTGGCATTGTTGGGAAATGAACCACTTCCTATCCCAGGGATTCATCCTGTATTCCAGGGACAGATTTGCCCCTGAAAACAACAAATTGGAATTACTGAGACATGTTAACTAACCTACGCATAGTGGCTTTTATAGAACAATTTATATGTGTCCCGTTTTTAACTGAAAGTTTTGAAGGATGAGTATCTTGCTTCACTCAGAAATGAGAAAAATTCAAAAATGTCACTGATGCATATTATTTCTGCTTTTTTGCGGGGGGGGCGGTGTCCAGGGATCGAACTCAGGACCTTGCGCTTGAGAGGCAGGCAGCAACACCACTGAGCTGAATCCCAGGTCCCTCTGCTCTTCTTTCTCAATAAACTAATGGTGGGGGTTTTTTTAATGGTGATTTCTTGTAATCTTAATTGTCTAGGCTGGGGATTTAGCTCAGCGGTTCAGTGGCCTGCCTTGCAAGCGCAAGTACCCGAGTTCAATCCCCGGTACCAAAAAAAAGAAGCTCTTAATTGTCTGATGAATTCTACAGAAAAAGAAATTGCTTTTAAAAAACTGGATTATCGTGACTCTGTTCTTCATTAGCTCAAATACATAATTCCACAAAAAGGAGATTTGAGAAAGTGCTATTAGCAGACTTAAAGAGGAAGCAGGAGTAAATGGTGTGGTCGTGTGGACTTGGCTGTTAGGTGTTGTAGTCAAAGCCAGCAAAGTAGGAGAACACTGAAATCTGACAGCACGTCTTCCATCCGGGGTCATGTCAACCAGACACCCGGAGAAACAGCTCAGTATGGCGTGGCTGCTTCCATGTGTGATTTCTTCTCAGCAAGAGTAGGAACAGAAGCCTGGCGCACTCTTCTCTGGTTAGCAGGGAAGTAATTGCCACATCAGTGGCTCCCTTTAGAAAGTGGCCCCTGGCTCCCTCCACAGGGCTATGCCTCATTTAGGCTCCAAAGTGAACCCCAGGAAGGCTCAGAAGTCCAGAGCCCAGTGTCTGGCAGCCATGCTGTGAGCAGGGCCACAAAGGGAACGTCCACTTGAAAAGACGGACACATTAGCCACTTTAGTGCAGACAGTGGGGGAAAGGGTGTGAGTGAGGATTTGATCTAAAAGTTCTCTGTTTAAAACCAGCAAGATGGGAGGCATCACGTGTGTGGCAGGTCACACACGGTAGGCCACCTGCCCTGTCACCCCACATTCCACACACCAGGACACAGCTGCTCTCACGGAAGTCCCAGCCAGAGGGAGGTAGGCCTTTGAGCTGGGCAGTCAGTGCACAGCCTTCTCTCCCTCCCACTCCAGAGTGGTGGCGGATGGGCTCCTCCACCCCCTCAGGGCTGCGCTGGTCCACGGATCTGGTGTACTTAAGAATTCACTGCTGCACCCTAGCCAGGAGCACACCTCTTGCAGAAGCCACTACGGTGAGACTGCTACTGTAAGAAGTGGGTTAACCCCAGCAACTCTGAAAACTACAGGCCATCACCACTTTAAAACTTAGAAATGTGTGATTATTAGCCAATCATTGTTGTCTATCCAGGCCCTTTACAGAGGAGTCCTGGTGTTTACCACTTAACTGGAGGAGCCAAGGCCTTGAGTGTGGGCCCGCTGGCTAGAGGGCTGTGTTGTGTAAAGCACACCCATAATGCGTCATTGACTGCTTCCGATTGAGTTGCTTAAAGTGGGGCAAGTGCTTAGCTATTTCTATGTCTGAGTCCACGGTCCCAGGTTTTGGTTTTTATTCTTGACACCTGATTCAACAGTTGTTTTTATTAGCCTAGAGCATTTCCAAAGAATTTGAAGTAGCTTGGGGCCGGGGATGTAGCTCAGCACAGCACCTGCCTGGCAAACGCAAGGTCCTGAGTTCAATCTCCGGTACCAATAAAAAAAAAAGGAATTCAAAGTAGTTTTCATTAAAAGATAAGCTTCCCTTTTATAATTATATCCTGTTTTATGTAAAAATGAGTTAGGTGTAACCACCCTACAAAGACTGGGGATGAGACGTTTCCCTACCTTCTAGATTCTGGCATTAAACTGACAAAGACTGACTAAAGAGAAGGAAAAGGCATTTCCATCTAATAAATGTTTTTAATTTTATAGGCAGAGTCAGGA